CTTCATAATCACAGCCAACATGGCGAAGACATTCTAATTGGACGGTCAGCGAAGCATAATTCAGTACTACAAGGTGAGGCATGCTATTGAAGGAGTTGGGACTCGCTTAGGCGATTAACAACTTCACCCTTAGGAAATTCGGACGTAATAAGAATAAGGAGACGATGAGTAATGTGCCACCCAAGCGATGAGTGGCGTCACGTAGTTTTCATCCTCCAAGTGATTTTACCAGAATTACGTATGTAATACCAAGGCTTGTCACATTCTTCAGGGATTTCTTGTTGTATAGACACGATTATTGATATTACGTGACTCGGTTACGTATACCCTTCGTTAATTGATATTTTATGAGCGTTAAACGTTTCTACGAGATATGATGGGAGGTACGGGTTAATCGAAAAGTTGTGTTAATGTTTTGAATTGCGCAATACACTTTCTCTATCCAAGCCCAGAATCATTCATGCATGATCACCGGCACAAAATAACTTCCCATCTAAATGGCCTAGTCATAAAAGTCTGTATAAAAGCTTTGATATTCGTTGTGTCAGATTTCGAGATAGTTTTTAGGAGAAATGAAACTCAAATTTGCCCCAGGATGTAAAGCTTACACAGCGTGGAGTGGTACAGAGCATACCTTAAGAGATAAAAGAATTCTTAACTCGAGCGTCACGCCTTTAAAATACATGATCATGTGGTTTTATAAAGGCACCGGTGTGCGGATAATCATACTTGCATAAATATCCGTCAAAGTTCTGAAGCTTTATCTAAAAGTACTGAAGTTCCGAATCTGCATTAGAAGAGATAAGGAGTATGTTTGCTGCAGGGCTTCAAGGTCCTTAATAATATGGAACACCGATTATGCATGAAACTTGTGATGTAAAAGAATTTTTGTACCAAAAAAAGGCTTTAATAGAAATCATATGTATTTTATGTTCATACATATTTAAATATGAAGAGTAAGGCGTCTAAAAATTATCTTTTTATTATTAACATTTTATGTGTTAACTTTACTCGCTTAATGTAACATTCTTCGCACATACACCACATAAAATTCGATTCAACAGCAAAATATCTGAAAACAGCATATGATTAGAATTTCCAATAGACAGTGTCGGGTGCTTGAGATAAAAATGTTTTATTCCGTACAGTGTTGCCACTGCTCGCTTTTAAAAAATTCTGAGTCTTATTTCAGAGGAGCATGGAAGTTTGTTAATCAAAACTTCATTAATGTTTTATTAAACATGAAATAAACAATAAAACAGAATTCAAAATCCAAAATTCGGGTTTCCAAGTGCAGATGTTCGGGTGGAGGACTAAGTAATTCAAAATTGGATGGCTCTACATACATTTTTTCACAATGCGAAGAACATGTATACATGCATATTCTTCATCATTTAATTTCTTCATAAATAGTTCAGGGCGGTAATATTTGGTGGCAACAATTTGAAAAGTGATACGCCGATTATAGTGAACTGACGCAAAATCCCATTTCGAGACTAAAGCCTCTTTTGGGTAAAAAAGTTGTATTATTTGGTTTTTATAAAACATTTCTCATCAATGAGATAAACGTACGGCGAAATATGAAAAACAATATTCAAAACCAAATTTTTACTACGTTTGGTTAAACGCCATAAAGCACAAACTGACATTAGTTTTGTCAAATTCTACTGGCATATTTCTTAATCGTACCACTAACAGGAAAAGAAATAATAATAAAAAAAATCAACTACAGTAAACGATTTCTTTTCATCTAGTTTCTGTAAACGATTATCCTCAGTACAGAAAAGTAAACAAAAATACACATTTCTCCTTTAATAAAAAATAAATTAAAATAATAATGATAATAATAACAAATCACGTATTCTCATTTCCATTGCATATATATTACAATTTCAGTTACTGTGATACTATTAAGCGCACAAAAGCGTGAGCTCAGAAATATAATAGCTACTGTTATTATGTAAAAAAGAACAGATCCTCCAACAATCGATTTTAGGAAAGCATTAGTTTTATTTTTAAGGAAAATAAACTCGTAAACAGCGCTTCTAAAAATCGTTTCGTAAGTACGGTTTGATGATGAGCAATGAAGAGTTAAGTCAGAAGTGATTAATTGAATAAAATGAGAAATAACTCTGTTTTAGATTTACATTCATTTAATTTTAATAAAGAATATTTTAGAATCATTTTAAATAAAACATTCGATAGTTGACTGAGTACGTATAAGTTGTAAGAATAAGATGAGATAATGAAATAGAAGTGCAACTGTTGAGAAAACAGTTTTTGAAAAGTATAAATTTTGCAGTACTTAACGAATTTCCCGTTGATAGTTTTCAACAAGAAAAAATCTGCAGCCAAACAATCTGATTCAGACGTGACTTGAGGACTGTCTACAAGCGTTATGCTAAAGTTCATTTACTAACTGTGCCTAATGTTTGTAGAAATTTTTTGATCGACGTTGTACCCCCAATCTTAATACTCGGAAGGCGTTCCTTATATCAGCATTTATAGGGATTTCACCGATTTGATCTTTACGTTGGTCAGAATATTTATTATGTGACGTGCTTGGCTTTGCTTCAGAAAGCCCCTGGGAAATATCTTCTATCATCGTCTTCTGTGTGAAGGAGGGAGACCTTGTCTGATCGTCCTCAAAATAAAGAGTTATTAAATATCTGCACCAAACTAAACAAAATGCTGTTTTTTTTTGTATAATTTTAAATGGTTGATTAAAATTAAAATTTTCGTTCCTTACTTGTTGCCCAATTGTTGACTTAATCCTTTGCTTTGTGACATTTGCGAATTTTTAAAATTTATTTTGACCTTGTTTGGAGAATTTACTTCCATGTGGAACACTTATTCTATAACATTTTTATACTGAATTGTTGATCACCTGTATTTTCCGTGTTTTGATATACAAATGGGAGAGATTGGGGCAATTCGAATAGAATATCCGAATGATAACATTAACCGCTATCACATTAAGCGGCGTCTGCTGTAAATGCAACGAGTTCACGAACTGATCACACTCCTTCCTTTCGTCACATGCGATAGCAGACGTCAAACGCCGTTCTCCAGTGACATAAGAAATTTTTCATCTCCTCTAAGAAATACAGCCAAATTAAAATTTCACTTGGGTGGATAAAAGCATACTAAGGGAATACCTGAAACGAAGAAGCCAACTTTCTTGTTGAAGACGTAGCTATTGCATGCAATGTCGAAGTTACGATCATAAAATGGCCAAAGCCATTATCTAAAAAAAGCAATAAAAATAAATCAAACTTTACAGAGAGAATGGAACGCTGCACTCCAAGGAAGAAGAACACATGAACTAATTAATGTAACAAACGGAAAATGCATCTCATTAATCCCTGTTTAAATCAATTCATATCTGCGCACACTCCCTTCACTCCTCTTCGCTAGCAGAAAAATATCCCCTCCTCAGGTAACTGCGTTTGCTATGAAAGAGGATCTCCAGAATGCTACTTTTTCCCATGTCCATTTGTAGAATCATTAGGACTTTTTGAAGCAGGAGACCTGAAAATTACGCAGTACCCTCTCTGGGACTCGAACCCTGGACCTGTCGAGTATGCTTCCAATTACACCACGAAGGCAATTACATCACAAATACCTTACATATTAACGCAATAATATCAGAATATTAGTTCAATTATCAATGAATTCGAGTTTCGAAGATATTTTATAAACTTAACAATAACGTCAATTATTTTTCGGAACAATATCAATATATCTGTGAGCAATATTTGATACGAAACAAGTCTTTATTTTAGTGTATGCAATCTTCAAAATATAAACTATATGAACATGTTCCGCAAAGATAGAACAGAGTCCCAATAAGATGCTTCAATGGATCAGTAGGATCAGCAAGCAGTATCTGTATTACTACACAGTAAAGTCTTCGTGTTCCTTATGCTTATTCCTGTCATATCCTTTTTGTCATATATTTACGCATTAAATAACAAAGAAGTTTTTCTTTATAATTACTTACTTTCTCGAAGTGTTGTTATTTCAGTCTACCAGGTTCGAATCCTGTTCACGGCACCAAATGTAGTAAACAGGCGTTAAACTTTAATTTTATGTGCTGAGACTTATCTAATTATAAATTAAATTGCGCATATATTATGTGCATAGGAACCCAATGATAAAGATAGACAATTTAATAACTTACCCTATTGCACAGTGACAAAGTAACTAACTGCGTTCACACTCGAATCATTTTTTATTTTCTAATTATAATTATAGCAACTGATACTCATCACAGGATAAAAAAAGAGCTGCCTGCTAATCATATATCACACAAAAGGTTCTTGCAAGTGAATCGCTCTGAATAGCAGGAGAATAGGAAACTGAACCTCCTCTGAGTAAGAAACAAACAGATATCTGGATGCATTATCACGAATAATTTCCTTTACGGCACTTGACGAGCGAAATGTCAACTAAACATGCATGGAAATAACGCAATATTATTTTTGTTGTATCGCTCCGCCGCTCTGCATAGTCTGATGAAAGTCAGTCTTTTGGCTCGTGTCTTGACATGAAAAGAAAATGGCGCCAAAGCGTGTTTCCCTCATTCTTCAAAACTCATAGAAAGATCATCGTTCATAGCGATTTATCCAATAGTAAATTGCAGCTTCATGAAAGATAGATTTACAGGTGATATTCACTTACAGACGTATTATAATACTTTACATGAAAAAAAAGTACAAAAACTCGAAGAACGTTTTTTTGAGACCGCTATGCACGACAAGCGAAGAAAACGTTCGCCCTAGCGATCCCCTCTTGCCATTCGAGAGAGGGAAAAACCGATGACGAAGTATTTATACCAACTGTCGCTACAACAAAGTATAACAAATAATCGGAGTAAAAAAAAATGTGATACTTGTTGTCCCATCAGCAGGATTGCAGGAATTTAATCATGAATACAGGCATTTATGAACAATGCAGATATTCATTAAAGAATTAAGAAAAATCATGAAAAATAATACCTTCCGAGTGGTCTTGGAACTGAAACTGTGGCTCCCAGCGCCCTCCAGGTCCTGCCTGTTCATCGTCCAGAGTAGGTTTAAGATTGTTGACAAGGAACATTGGGCTTTCCATTGTCACGTCTGTAACAACGTCACCCGGAAGAATATCGAAAAACTGGGCGGCAGATCTCCTCCTTCTCCTTCTCCTCTTTTTACCATAAGAACGGGTATGACTTGATCGTGGAACTGCACAATCCGCCTATCATAAAATTAAAAAAAAAAAAAAAAAAAAAAGATATTTCATTGACACACTACAAATATCAATAAATGATGCTTAAATAGAAATGGATAATTAAAGTAAAAAGGGTTGTTTAATTGCATTCCACAAGCACTGCATTTTCTGTTATCTTATATTAGAAAGAACGAAGAGGGAAAAAATATGTTCGCATGGCTCAGCTGATCAATGTTCGCGTTTACAGATTGTTAAGTGTTGCCATACTTTTTTTATATTCGCTATAATATTTACACATGAGATGTAAAATGATGAAGATATCCAAATGAAGAAGACATCCTTAAAAATTGTTTCAGCTTGGAATTGAAAAAAGCTTCAAAATTTTTGGTTAATTTTTTTGTTCTTCTGAAATATTTATTCATAAAGTTTATACGAACCTTTAACACAGAAAAATACTAACTCAGTGTTTTAAAACACTGGAAAATATAAAAATGTTTAGTTTAATTATTCTTTGTTTTGAGGTTGTGGATAGCAGTGACTTTGAAAGCAATTTAAAATGGAAGTCTAAGATTTAAAAACCTTTATTTTGGAAAACTGGTAAGATATTATTTCCATATATTTAAAACTGTAAATTTTAAAGTTACAATAATATAGGCAGTACGATGTTATAAGCCTTATTATTATGATTTGCAATCTGTAAAATATTTTGATGTTAGTTTGAAGGTATTAATCGTCTATTTTTTAAAGTCAAATTGTCTATTAAAAAGCGTAAAAAATTGTCTGAAAGTCAATTACTTTACGGATTTTATGTACGGATAACGATAAATCGAATGTATTATCTTTATCATTGCTCGATATAAAATATTTTTACAATTCTTAGACGCGTTTTTTTCTTTCTTTTAAGAGATTTTAATCTCTGCACTAAGTTTTTCCCTTCCACTGACATTAGTTTCATTGTATATAATATTTTTATATTCACTAAACATTGATTACATAATTCTTAAGATATCAGTGTATTTTAGTTTGTTATACATGGGCAAAAAAATACAGACATAAAGTAAAAATTAGAAGGGAGGAAATGGAAACAAAACTCAAAAACATGCTCTATAATCCCCAAGATTTACTAAACCGCGCAACCCGTGTACCCGTGATGTACTGATATCCATAAATCGAATGTATTATCTTTAAACTGCTCACTTTGTTGAGCTAATTGTCAAAGCGCTGTTAGAAAATGTGGATGACAAATTAAAGTCTTCGGATAGCGTGACGTTTCAGCTGTTTTCCCATAAATCGTGACATATCGCACGTGTTGGAAGAATCAGAATTACCCCACTAAAGATGCTTCCAGCATCATAAAAAATAAAATGTCAAGATGTGCAGCACTTTTAGAATATCTGAGACCACAATTGACCTAGACTTACAAATGCTGCCCATCAACTTGTAATTGAATGAATGCAAATGGCAGAAAATTCCTTGACGAATATTGATATAGTCTGAGGTTCACCTCAGAGGATATGCAACGAAAAGCAAAGCGGATTGTCTTTTTGACAGGAGAATTCGTTCGGCCTGGTTGGAGTTTCGTTCAGGATGCATTACAAAATTGCCCCGGATCATGTAATATCAAAGAGATTCCAGAGTTTGAGAGAATTGATATTTCGGACACGGTTGCAGAATACAAAGGAATCGCAATAAATTTTCAAAATTTCCATTGCTAAGTGAAGAAAGAGAAGTGGGAATAAAAATTTACAATGCCATAAAATGAGTTTTTTTTTCAATAAAGAGCATTGTTCGCGTATAAACCATTAAAGAGCGTAACAACATAAAACGTAGGGCAAAAATAAGAACAATTGTTTTATCTTATGCAGATGCATATCTCTAGGTTTTATTTCAAAATAAAGAAGATGCTTGTTTTTTTCTTGGGGTCGATAGTTTGTATGAGGTAATAACGAATTGAAATTTCCCTTCCCCGCTATGCAATAAACGAGGTGAAACGAGAACAGTTATCAAAACGCAGGAAAGAAAATCATTTTTATAACCTTTGAAAGTTTGCCGTATTCACTTTAAGATGTCATCGAATGCATTAAATTTATTATCAAATATTAAAAACATTTTTTAAGCTGTAAATATATTTATCACGGCTATTATTATTTCCCTGACACAGTACGATACGTAAAATATATTTATCTTACGAGTTGCTGCGTTAGATTACTATTCTTATGTCTATTATTAAATAATAAAGAACCTGTATATATGCTTGTCTGCATGTTCCTCGCATTGCGGAAAAACGATGACACCTGAATTTGAACACACATAGAACACCCGAACATGTGCAGCTCGAAGCCAGAATTTTGACTTTCTAAATTACTTTTTTATTTATTTCCTCTTTTGTGCGAATTTTGATAGCGATATAAAGGCAGTGTGTTGCCACTGAGCAAAAAAAAAATATTTTTTTTCTTCGAATTTATGTAGAAAATGTCTTCGAATTCATTCTAGAAAAACGGTGAGGCCTAAAGCCGCAAAATTGTGAACATACATAGTCTTCTACCCGAGCATGTGCACCTCGAAGCCCGAATTTTTATTTACTTCATATTTTGTGTGAGTTTAAAAATGTTAATTAAAATTTCAGTTTTGAGTTACCATTCAGCAAAGCGTATATTTCAAATTTAACCAGAAAACTCAGGAGATGTAATAGACGTGTGTTGTCTTTCGGCAAGACGTTGGATATCTGTTTTTCAAATTAAATAAAAGGTGTCAGCGATTTAAAAGAAACGCGTTGCCGCTGTCCAAGATGAAATACTTTTTCTGCCACGCGCAACTGTTGTTACCATTCAACGAAGCCTAAAATATTTAATTTTCGTTCTAAATTTATTCTATTTTTAATTCACATACAATGAGATTTTAAAACAATAAACACAGATTCAGTAATTACTAATTACTAACCGGACTCGTGAAATTTCATTAAAATCATTATATATTTTTCTTTTTAAAATAACTATTTTAGGCCTCTAGCCTCGTAAACTGCTAGTTTTTGTAAATATGAAAAAAAAAGGAGTAGAGTTAATAGAACTGAATATTGCATAAATATAGTTTTTTACGCATTCCTTTTACATACCGGTGGGCAGGTATCCAAACAATAGGAAACAGTCATTTGGAATTTGACAGCAGAATCTGAAGCAAATTTAAATGCTTGGAATGGAGCAACCAACGATTTTGACCCAGGAAGCCTGTCAAGAGCCTGGATAACAGTCGGTTCCACAGGACACCTAGAACATGTATCATAAAAAACATCTTAGTATGTTACATCTCATACGTACAGATGTATTAAATAAGCATTCATTTGTTATAAATAAAAGGAATTTATTTTAAAAACTGTCATCCCTTCGTGGGACATTTTGTAAATTCATTTCCTTTTATTTATTTTTTCAATTATTACTTTTAATTAAGCAACAAATGTTGACGAAAATAAGCTTTTATTAGTCAATAAACAATTACTAACTTATTCAGTAACTGAATAGCGAAATTATACTTGATAGTTTTTAAGTATTTTATATATAAGATTTATGACAACAGACGAACTGATTGGCTAAACAGCTCTTTTGCACTCCAAAAACAAGACTAGATAACATCATTGTACAAGTTAAACAATTCATCCCTTATTTATGAGATACACATATTTGAACTTTGACCTGGCGTCATCACATACTTATAATAACAAGGATTAAAAGCATATGGCAGTGATTAGGCTCTCTCAAGCACAACGAATGAATTCTTAATTTAGAAACACTTACCGCCTCCTGTTATATGTAGTATATTGTTATCAAATCTTTCAGTTTAAAATATTTTTCAGTTTAAAAAATGAGAAGAAATATTCACTAAGTTGCCTTTCTAATCTCTACAATTTTTCATAGCAGTTTCTCTTAGAAAGATTTGTGGTTACCGGCAGAGCCATAAATCCGGTTTTTTAGTATGTTAATAATGTTAACATACTAAATATGTTAATTTTTAGTGTTAGTAATATAATTTATATTTTATAGAAACGAATTCAGAAGATGCTAATTGTTACTAAGAACGTATATATACAATTCTTGAACGAATATCATTTGACAACAGAAATTAGTAAGCAATATTGAAATATTTAACATGGATTAGTTTTAAACAATGACTGTATTTAAGTTAGCACTTTTCTTTCTGCTAGTGTTTGCTAGTTTGGATAGTGTATATCATTAAGGCTCAATTAAACATTTTTACATTAAAATGCATTAATTATAAGCATTCACATCAGGCAGAATGAAGTTCTTCATTAATGTGGAATCAATTTTGTATCATGAGTAAACATGCTTTTTCCAACGCACAAGAAGCCATCCAACTTTTCAATAACTTGAGATCCTCTTTTCACTGCATTAACGGCGAACATCGCTAAATGAAGTTAACGACAACTGATGCATTAGAGATTGTAGAGTGTATTAGGTTAATTTCGATGCAGAAAACGTGAAAAATATGAAATGGCTTCCTCGAAATTCGAACACTGGGCCTTCTAATTACCAGCCGGATGGGCTTTCCAGTCAAATCACAAAGGAAAGCGGTAATGAAGAAAATACCTTGCAATTGCCCCCTTATAGGGCGACTGGGGAGAAGAGGACTCAATCGCAACATACTGGCAGTGACAAATTATTGTCGATCACCTTTTTTCCTTCTTTAATTTGGGAGCCATTTGTAGAGTCTGTTAGGTTTTTTTCGATGCAGGAGATCTGAAAAATGTGCAGTGGCCTAATCGCCATTCGAACTTCGGACTTTCCGATTGTTATCCGAACGTGCTTTCAAATTACACTGCGCACGCACTTGAAAAGTAGGGAGAAAATAGCTTAGAAGATGATTATAGTAAAATAAAAGTTGTCCACACTATGGCAGACAGTCTAGCTAAGGACGCGGCTCTAGGTGAAACTTCAGATCCAGTCAACATCCCCTGGCCCATTTCCCACGTCAAAAAATCCTTGAGACTCCACGCTAGGTCTAAATAGCAGGAAGAATGGGACCAAGGAGAGACAGGACGCATAAAGTACTATCACCTATCATATGCTGATCTGGGAAGGACTATAAGTAATCCACAACTCATACGCTACACTACGGGGCATGGTCCATTCCCGGAGTACTTTGCCAAACACGGCATCAGTGAGACGGATATATGCAGCTGCAGAGAAGCGGGAACTCCGGAACACTATGTCACAACATGTCCACTAACAACTGGACTACATATACCTATCTCGCAGACCAATCGCAAAGCGTTCTGTAAATTTCTTATAAAGCAACGTCATTTCATATACAAACTAACAAAAGCAATGGATAAACTCTCTGCGCTTGGCACAGATCTGTGTCAAACAGCCTAAAGGTGTGCAGCAGCCAACAAACATACTATTAAGGTTGATTCAAAACAAGACAGAGTATATTACGTGCTATTTCTAACATGCACAATTATAACAATGTATACATATATTGAGTACACATTGAGTTATTGTGAGTATATTGGTGTATAAATGGTCAGCCTGCATTAAATAATCTATAGTATAAAACCATGTATATATAATAAAAGGTCAACTGTGCTATGTATTTCAGCTAAATGTATAATATATCAGTATTGTGTATATATCAGTATAGTGTATATAATATATCAGTACAATGTATATAGCAGCATAGTGTATAATGTATCAGTATAGTGTATCAATATAGTGTATATAATGTATAATGTATGCATAATTTACATGTCATAAGTTCTGGTGTAAGACATACGAACCATTGCAACACGATTTTGCTTTTGGATCACATGTAAATCTTAATATAATTTCCTATATATAAAATATTCCCGTGCACATAATCAAATTAATGTAATGTAATATGCATATTTTAAATGTATTTGTCTTTGTATATGTAAGATTACGTACTACGTACCTTATTTGTAATACGCCATCATACGTAATATGTACCTCAATTGTAATATGGTGTATGAACCAAAATATTATTGTATGGCAATGTACTATCTGTCAAGGCCCTTGTATGACACTGTATTTTAAATCGGTGACTGGTGTCAGGGGTTCATGTGGCACCTCACCCTTCCCCATACCATTTGGGGTGCTCTAGACAATGGGGACGCGGCGCTATACCAATTAACCGCTATGGTAGAGGGGTGTTGCTAACGTCCTCCGTCACTTATCACTTACCTATATACAGATTGCATAGTAGAGTTTGAATACTAGACGATTTAAATTTTATATTACAATCAGATCATACGAAATGAAATGAAAGTTCTACGAAAGCAGCACTAAATTTAATAAAGAGTTAAATAACACAGCTGGAATGAAAACTAACTAGACATTTCTTTTTCACGTTTATCTTTGAAGGTAGGGTGATCGTATTGCCACCTGGAGAGATCCATAATGTACTCTTAACAAAAATCACAAAACTTCTGCGACATTTAGTGACTTGTATTCATCGACCATTTAGAACAATATAGCATGATATTTTTTTGCCACGTCGTAGAACATCCTTTTTAAAATAATAGGTGCACTATTCTTGATTAGAAATGGGACAAATCTTAAATTTTTTCGAATCCAAAACTTAAAAATTCTTAAATCTCTCACCTCTCGAATCATTCAGATTAAAGTAATAAGAAAGAGGAAAAACAAACTTAATGGTAAGAGAATCTGAAATCTGCGTTTAAGATATAAAACAAATTTAAGAGTACAGTTTTTAAAAATACGCCTCTTGAAGGCAATCCAAATGAAATTCAGTAAAAATACATGCTTTCTCATACTTGAGCCTTGAGATTTATTTTTATAGTAATGTGACAAAAAATATTTGAGTAACGGTAAAGATCTTTTATTACTTTTTCTAGAATCTTTTTTAAACCAAACGTTAAGCAAAATCGGGAAGAAGATTTCAAGAATTAAAAGAGATAGATACTAAATAAGAAGTCAAAATTCTTTTCAGAAAACAGGATGTGGCACCCAAAGCCATCAATCACAAAGTGATACTGGTGATACAAGTCCGATGAAATCTCAAATGTGTTCTTTTCTTAACGAATGCTTCTTATGGACCTCAATAAAACGAATATTTCAGTTAAAATGTTTAATGACAGTTAGGAAAGGTTTAATGATGTTTAGAAATAAAAAATCGAAAGCAAAGTAAAAATAAATACATTTTGAACCCTTCTTAATTATTATTTTTATTGTTTCGCTATGAACATCTTTTAAAAAAATGAAGTATTAACTTTTTGCTACCCGTTCGTTTTCTTAATTAAAATAAAAATAATTTTTATATAAAAAGTAAGAGAGCATTAAAGGGTAGCAAGTAGTAAGAAACCGATGTCTGAGATTATTTTAATACCCATTTGCAGCAAAAAACAAAGGGAATTTAATTACGTATATATTATTATCAATAAATCTAGCTACAATTCTTAAAAAAACAGGAACTACAATTACTCTTCTTGAGAAATAAAAAATATATATAAATCGGAAATACTATATAAATTGCTTTTAACAATGTTATGTTTTTCGAACGCATTTAACAGATTTTTTTTCCATTTAGTATTATATATTTCTAGTAGTATTTGTAAAAGGTTGCTTACACATTGTTTAAAAGGAGCAGAAACTTAAAAGGAATTCTTCATACAGAAAAGCGTAGACGAAAGAATAGAAATTGTATTATGTTATTAGCATTATAATAGATGATGTACTCCATTATAATGTTAACACTCATAATATTTCTATCATTAAGTGTGCGTTTAACTAATATGCTTTTAAAAAATTACATTAAATTTCCTATTAAAAGTTAATTCTTTAGCTTTGGAAGAATGAATAACTAAAGATTTCTTTTAGAAATGCATTTTAGTTATTCAACTCTGTATCCGGTTCTTAACTATAGCGTTATTTACATTCTGTACGATTCTAAAAGGCGACCGTAATTGCCCCAAGCTTTATTTTTTTCCCACATAAACCAGACACCGCACCTTGCTTTTCGCAAATTGTTACGTTAAGTGCTATTTTATGTATGGGAATGTAAACTGAATGTTAATTTAAGTTAGCGAGACACGAACGGAATATCTCCTGAGATTCATGTAGCTACTATTTTTATGAAGAATTTATAAAAAGATTTTAAACTAGCAATTAATTACCGTATTCCCCTCCCTTTTTTAACTAATTTTATTGCCCAAAAACCAAGAGAGAAAAATAATGCGGGAAATGTAATTTTCAAAGAAAGTGGCTTCAGTAAG